AGACCCCTCTAACCTGAGAAACATCTTCCCCTGTTGGCCACACACTAGGTCTCTGCCTGATGGGGGCTAGGCCTGTGCCATGCAGCCTTCCCAAACCTGAATCCCAGCCTCCCAGGAAATAAGCAGCTTGAATTTGGATTATTTCTATATATTCTGTTAGGATTTCACTGCACATGTTTGTGTCCCTGAAAAATATACATGGTTTGAGGGGCATGACCTTTGTTTCATCCTTAAAACATGATAATGCATTTCTTTCTAACACTGGGACATACAGAAGCATGGTATTTCCCCACAGAAATGAAAGCTCCAAACATCTGTTTCACTCCCAAATGCAATTCCTTCCTGTGCTGGTACACAGAAGGTAGCCAGTAAACACTGCCAAATGAGTGAAGACCCTGTTGAGAATTGAACTGCGATTGTTGTGGGGCCAACAGGCTGGGGAGTGCAGCATGTCAGGAGAAGCAGAAAGAGGACAAGGGCAGCCTTCCAGGACTTGAGTCAGTGAGTGGCAGACCACTAGGGGCTGGGATGGAAAATGTGAATAGCACGAGTCTGGGTACACATCTGTCCACAGGGAAGTGTCTGAAAGGGACAGCAGCATGGAATTCAAGGCGCTGGGCAGTTTCCTTTCTCCGCGTGAGTCCCTTGTATGTGACTGTGAAATCACATGGAGCAGGTCCCCAAGGTGCTCACACTGGGCCCATGACCAGCTTGTTTGTGGGAGGCTTGCTATGGAACAGATGCAAATGTAAGAGCATGTTCATATGTTCATCTCATGCTCCATGCCCTTTTTGAGGTACAGCACCATCTCTGCTTTATGGATAAGGAAATTTAGAAGTCATGCCACCACACTGTTCCACATTGTTCAGGAACACTCACATAAGAGGCAGGAGCATGAACTGATGCCTAAATTGCAGGAAACAGCCCCTACACAGCAAGGCTGCTCCCACCTAGAGGAGCAAGGAAAACTAGGGATGGGTGCCTAGAGGCTTCCACCTATGCTAATATTTTCTTCGTTAAACTGGATGGTGCATTGATATTTACTCCTTTTGGTTTATTATGAATACTATATAATCTTTTATTTTTTTCAAAAAGCAACTTGTCCATGTTCCCCAGCTAGCAGGAGCTGGTGCCTGAGCTGAAATGTAGATCTCACTACATGCCTGTGATCACGCTCTAGGACAGACTTGTGTCTGCTGTGAACCAAAATGACACAATACCTCATGGAGCTTCTGTCTTCACATGAAGCAGGCACCTCACAGGTGTGCTGTGTATGGGTTAATAGGACCAAATGACACTGCATGCAGAGCAATAACTATGTCACACAGTCATTATAACATGCAAGTGCCCATAACATCTCCCAGGGCAGCCCTGTGTCTCCCAAAGAGCCAGGGGAAGAGAATCTGAAGCCATGCTCTGCAGTGTCTGGAAAAGCCCTTCTAGAATTCCAGGTTTCTGGAAAAGAGACCCACAGAGGAGCCTGTGAAGGAGGAGGGCTTAGCTGCACAAATGGGCTCTCTCTGTCCCTTACCAACAGACCAACATCTCCAGGCCACCTACCCACCTGGGGCTGCCCCTGAAAGCATCAGCTGCAGCAGTATGCAGTAGAGCCTTTTGGGGCACTCATTTCATGCCCACCACCAACATTCCCAGGCAGTGCCAGGCAGCCTGGAATAGAGCAGCAGAGGGGCTCTTAACTTGAATGGATGGCCTCCTCTGTTGCAGCTCCAACATCACAGGAACTTGCAGTTCAATGACAGTGCCTGGCACATGAACTGGTGGGGTGCAGCAGCAGATCCTGCTCAAAGTCAGCAGGAAGATGGCTCAGATGACCAAAGATTGAAATGGGCCTCCAAGTAGTCTGTCTTTGTCCTTGTAACAGCAGCAAGAACTTCCTAAGGACAAGGGCAGGGGACACCAGAAACAGCTGAAATACCCAAAAAGGTTCATCTCTGTCCCCTCCGCCTACTCAATTGAGCACCTGGTGACCTGTGGGATGCCTGAGGTCAGGGCTGGGCTTATGACCTCTGCACAAACACAAAGGTTATATAACCAGTCCCATCAGCAGCTGTGAGCTGGTTGGCCAGGAAGATGCATGCTTAGAGTTAGTGTGAGAGGTCAGAGGGTGTAACTCGGCATTCTGAGAACATAGACACCAAACCTGTTGTTCTCTCTAGAATCTGCTTGTTTCTCAAGAGCCCAAAGAACATCTTCCATCTGCAGAAGTTTGGTTGTCATGTCATTTTTCTCTCTCTCTAGTGCTATGTCAGCCTCTACCTCCCCCAGGGCCTCAAGCTGTTCCCACCTGGTTGCATAGGAGCCACCAAACCTGTGGTGGAAGCTCAAGGTGCCCCTCCTGGCACCTGATGTACTGCAGCCCCCTCTCCAGGGTGTTCCTTCTGTATCTAGCCTATTCCTCTAAGCCTGGCCCAGGTTCCCTATAGGGGCTGGCTCCCTGCTCAGCTTTCCAGCTTGCTCCTTGAGAATAGCCTACTGCCTCTCAGATTCCTCCTTGCCCACCCTCTGGGGCTCAGAGGGCAAGGCACCTCTCTCTGTTCCCAAGAACAGCTCCTGGGCTTCAGGCTGGCTCAGGTAGGCTGGACCATCATCAGAAAGCACTAGGTCCTCTGCACCCACTCCCCAGCTACTCTACTTGGGTGAATCGGTGACCACCTATCTGTGGTAGAAGCTACCTGCTCAGGGTCAAGCATACCCTGATTGCACTCTCCAAGGCTGAGGCTCTTAAGAGGGCATTCTGCTGGGCAAGGGTTGGGGCTAGGCTCTGCCTCAGGTCTACACAGCAAGACTGCTCCCTCCTGCTTGTACTGAGGATCATGGGGCCACCTGTACCCTCTGCTCACCACCTGCTACTGCTGGCCCATCCTTCAAGAAGACACCCAGCATCTCTGCTTCCCAGGTAAGGCTTTCTACCTGCTTCCTACAGGTGAGTGCTTTTCCTTCTTAAGGGCAAAAGATTAACAAATCTATGCCTGTTTTTCACTCTTCAACTCCTACAGTTTGATTTGCCGCTGTTTACAGTGTGTAAGGATCTCCCTCCCCATCTTTACCCTTTGCTTCTCCAGGTCAAGCTAATCTGTAATCTCTCTCACTTGTACCAGATGCTTCTGCAGCATCTCTTCCTTCTGATGATGTTGTAGTGATAAGTGTTTACAGTTGGTGGTGTGCTGAGCTTCCATCCATAAGAGCTTTCAATTAAGTCCAACTTTGGCCTCTTTCCTAAAGAAACAGAGTAAGTCCCAGGCACTTCCCCTAAGGTTAGAAAGGCTGCAAAGATTTTATTATTCTAATCTCATAACTCCTCTCTGCCTGGTTGGCTTTATCCTCTCTTACTTCCATGGCTCCTAGTCTTCCACCCATGCCCTAGAACCTTCCTTAGAGAGGCCTCAAGAGGATTGCCCCTCAGTAGGGTTGGGTTCCATATACAGGACCCAACACACATGCCATTCACACATGTGACTCTGTTAAGCTAAGTTGATTAAAAATAAACAATTAAAATTCAGTCCCTTAATTGCACAGATCACATGTCCATGCTCAGTAGCCATATGTGGCTTGGTGGCTGCTAAATAGACAGTGGACACAAGGATGTCCCTAATTGCAGAAAGTTCTAAGGACAGCACTGGCCTAGAGTTTCATAATCAGATGGGTAAAACTGACCCATAGTCAAAACTTCCTTTGAAAACCTTGTAAGTTGCTGCACTAAGGCCTGCATGAGGGCAGTAAGCCAGGGACAGGTATGTTCTCTGCTCCTGCCCAGTGCTGGCCTGAGCCATATGGGGCTCTACCTCCAGGCTGCAGAGGGACCATGAGCAGCAGGAATAGCTCCTCCCAACAAAGGCCAAGGTTTCCAAGTGTCAAGATGCTAGAGATGAGCAGCAGAGAGCCACCGTGCCCTGCTCCTCTGCTGCCTGACGGGGGTCTGGAGGGAGCTTTAGTCCCTTATCACATAGCTCTTGGGTTTCAGAGAAAATAACAAAGCTCAGGGGAGGCACACAACTTAAAGATGACTTATCATCTCCAGGAGAGTGTCAGTCAGTTCCTGCAAGCCCCAGAGGGTGTCATCTGGAATGGAGGAAGGAATGGAGCACAGTCACAGACTGCACTCAGCACCTCGCTGTGTTCAGGCTGCCCCCAATCCTCATGACAAAGAAGGGGAGAGCCCCCATCATCCAAGTTGGAGGGCATGGCCTCTACAGGAAGGTCATTTGGTATCCAGCAATTAGTGTGGTGATTTGGAACATGTTCATTTGGCAAGAACATCAGAACTCAGCCAGGGCCACACAGAGCCCCTCCATGAGGAGGGCAAATGTGTGGTAGACACTTCATCAACGAGCTGTCCCTCAGCTCTGGACCAACATGAGTGGGATGTGGCCATCCTCTCAAAACTCTACATGGGACAGGGAGGGGCGGACTGAACAGCACTGAGGCCTGCAATAACCAGTTACTCCCTCAAAGTCTATGACATTGTAAGACACAAAAGACTACATTCTGGTTTTCCAAATAAACCTTTTCTTTCCTTTGCTCATACATTTTAGCCTTTTCAAGAACCTCACTTAACCAAATTAATGGTTCTTCCCATTGTTTTAGGGCTTTTGTCCATTTCCCCATGTGCTACAATACCATGTCCCAGAAAATTAGAACGAGATATTAAATGATGAACATATTGACCTTTGCTATATCAGACAAATCTGAAGCAGAAGATGAAAAACACTGAGTTGAAATTCTACAAAGGACACTGTTTCATGGCTAAAGCTCTGGTTAGTGCATATTTCAAATTTAAAGTAAAAATACTTATATGATGACCTGTTCTTTGAGCGCTGCCCTATCTTCCCCTGAGAAAAACCATACAGTTAATAGGCATCACCATTCAGAGCAGTTTGCATAATCAAATTTTCAATTTTGGTTCTTGGCAAGGAACCCTAGACCTGAAATCCTGAAAAGACATGGTGCTGGACCTGAACTGCTAAAGCTCATGGTGATACCTCTGGTGCAGCTCCTCTTCTAGCTGGTCCTCCTCGTGGGCCAGCCACTGAGCCAGGCCAGGCAGCACCTGAGGGTAGCACTGCTCCATCTCCACCCTCTCCAGCTCGAACTTCCTCTCCAGCTCAGGGCCATGGGTTGCACTCTGGAGTTGGTCTTGCAGGCCTCGAATGACCTCCTGAGATTTCACGTGGAGTGTCTCCAGGTTGGCTTTCTGATCCTCCAGCACACCAACCTCAAGCTTGAAAGCCTGCTCCATTTCCTTTCTCTTCTTTGCAAAGTCCTTTTTCATCATCTCAATTTCTCTTTCATAGTAATTTACCTGAGAAGAGAAATATGAGCAATATTGATCAGGAGGTCCCCAAAATGACTTACTGACAATGCAACATGGAAGTATGAGGCTGCCAGAAAGTGCACTCAAAAAGCAGATGGCCCAGACCTGATGAGGTGCAGGGACAGCCATGCCAGTAATGTCCAAGGCTCCCCAAGGGGCCAGATGACCACAGGTTTTATTTTTCCCCATAACCTTCCATCAGCCCCATAAGGAAGATCCAGCAGGTGGGGAAGGGAGCCTGGAGGCCAGCTGGGACAGGTGTCTAGCCAGGAAGCATGAGGAGGGCTTGAGGGTGTGACAACACTGAGAACAGAGAACCTTCATGAGGTTGGCAGGATGGCTCTCAACTCCCTGGAGGCTCCAGGGAGGAGGAATACTGTCCAGTCACTGGCAAGGTTACTTTAGCATCTACCAGCTAATATATCCAGGGAACCCATGGCTATAACCACAAAACAGAGGTGGCCTGGCATCGTTGCTACTCAAACCAAGACACCTATCCCCTGATAACAAGTCATGGACACTATCCCTTCACAAAACCCACTATAATCTAATAACAGAGTAGGAGACATGATCATCTGAGAAGAAAGACTTCGTCAGGGTAATCGTGGGCATGAAGCCATGAAATAACCCACCAAAGGTAACTCTCAGAGTCATTTTCGCTTACAACAAAGCCAGGAGCTGTGATTCCCCAATGACAGAGCAAACAGGGAGGTCTGGCATCTGCATGCCCTTGTGACATTCCAGATATGCGTAACCCATTTCTTCCCCTATTAGCTATTCCTAATGCCCCGCCCCCCCCAAGAGGGCTTGAAGTTGAATGTCAATTTTATTTCTCTTTCCCTCAAAACTTCCCTCTCCTGAGCAGGCTTACTAAGAAGCAGGGGATCCACGGGCAGATGTGTGCATGCAGAATCACCAGCACTGTGAACAAGCTTTCACGTATGCAGCAGCAAGCGCCCAGATCTCCTTGTGGCCTCCCATCCCCCCTGACCTTGGTCTCCAGCTGAATCTTGAGGTCTTGGTAATGTTCCTTCACCTGCTCCATCATTATCTCCATTTCTATACTCACTGGAGTGGAATCACCCAGGTTGGGGATGATGCCTGCAATAAGGACAATTTTTTTTAATGTCCTGCTGAGAGCACTATGGGGTTTGTTCCACACCCTCCCATTTGATATTTAGGCAGCACTGAGTATTCATCCCAGATTTTCTCGACCACGCAGGACAATGCACAACCTTCTATAGACACTTTCTGCATGAGAAATTCAGTGCTGGCAGTGAGGGACAGCCCTTGCAGGTTTCCACAAAGAGCCTGCTATGTCCCATTCTCAAAGTTGAGGCTCTTTAGAAGCCAACATTTAGAGTCTTTGCCAGAACACAGATTATTCCAAGATATAACTAGGAGACTCTCTGCAAGATTTGTCAGGCCCTTTAATTCCCTAAAAGATGTCATACATGGTACAGCCACAGCACCCTAAATTGTGTTCCCTGACCCAGGTATACAGAAAAACTCAAAGACTGAAAAAGGTGTGATCTGTAGCACAGACAAATCTCTGTGGCAGTTAGTGCTTTATGATGAGGCATGCACGTCATACAAATAATGTGAGGTTTCAACAAATAAGTCAAGTATGGAGTGAAGGTACTGAGAAACCATAGAAGACATTTCCTTCCAGAAGATTCCCTCACTGACAATGTCAGACATCTGGGCAGCTCATCTTGATGAGGCACCCGTGGGCCCTTAAGTCCTACCAGCTAGTAACTGGGTATTCCCAACATTGTGCATGTTGAAGGGGTACACAAAAGAGTTGATTCAAATGTGGGTTTTGGCCACTGCCAGGGTTTCATCTGTGTTGGTCTAGGGGTCAAAAAAGTGAGAGGAAAAGGCACATTCCCTAAATCTTACCATCTTCCACTTCCCAAATTATTTTCCATGAAAAAAAGTGACAGACTCAGAGATATTGGGTCTGAAAGGACTCAGGATAAGCACCTCAGGAAAGAAAGCATCCTAATGCCCTAACAAACTGAAGCTGCCAACAGGGTCTGGCCAATGGGCACAGGTCAATGAGCACCTGTCAGGCATGGCTCCAGCAGGATACACCAATGACTTTGCCAAACCATAATCTACATGGTCCCTTTCACTTAACTTTGCTGTTGTGGCTGTCCCATAGAGCAGCAGAAGACCCCTTTTCCTTTGACGGGGCCAATGGAATCTCTACAGTCAGATAGAGGGGTGAAGGGGAAGAAAAGAACTCTAGCTGGGAGATTGCTTTAGTTTTATCAGTGACACACGGAGTGTGGGGCTGCTTCTGGCGTCACAGCCTGAGACCTTCTGGACAAGGACAACCCTGAGTATAAGACCCCAGCTCTGCCGTGCCCTGGGATACAGGTCAGTGGCTCCTGACAAGAGTCACACACCGTTTGCAGTTCAGGCTCTTCCAGGGACAATGGAGGTAACAAGTGCTTCCTTCCCTGTAGCCAGGCTGCCAACCTGGCCACACATCATAACTCACCTGGGAATCTGGTAACATCTGACATGCTGGCCACACCCTAAAATCTCCCACTGAGGGCAGTCAGGGTTGTAAGTCTCGGGAGCCATCAGATTCCATGAAAGAAGCTGCAGGTGAGGGGGTTTCCTAAGGGGCCAAGGAAGCTGGGCCCACATGCACAGGAAACCTGCACAGTTCCCGTGGAGGTTCCCACATTGGCTCTCCTGAGCACACACGTTTTCCTTTTTTATTAAGTTAGCTTTTCCCAAGCAATATGGGATACTCTGAGTGCTCTTAGGGCTACAGATAGATGTTCTCTGAGGGGCTGCATGGTCAATGTGTGGTCGATGGAAGTAGTCAGGCTGCTGCAGCAGTCCTGTGGTCTTCATGGTCCCTGTCAGTGGCAGCAGCAGACATAAGGCCAGGCACATCACGTGAATCTGCATGGTGCCTGCCCTGTACAATTGCCAGGAAGAGTAGCAATGAACCAAAGTCACTGTCCTCCAATAGTTCTGGCATCTGAAATTCCCCCCAACACTAGTCTGTAAATGGAGCAAAGAACACTTCAACAAAGGGCCTCAGGGCCTCTCAGAGCCTGGAGCTCATCCCAAATTTATAGATTGAGTTAAGAAGCATGAAGCCCTGGTCTTTCTCAAGTTACACCTTCAGCATGCATCTTTGTGTTGAGTGGGTGGGAGCACTTTCTGGTGCCACAAAACCACCTCAGAGTTCAAGGGTGATGCCATCCACATAACTCAGGTAGTAAACACCAAGTCTGCTTTACCCCAGTACACGTGAGGCCTCTGTGAATTCCAGGAAGTCCCTGACCTAGTTACACAATTTAGTGCCTTTCCTTTGTAAGAGCTGTTACAGACCCAAGACGAGTGCCCTGCTCACCCCCAGCACCCTCTGCTTGCCTTTTCTAGATGATCATCTCTGTGTGTCTGGCCTATGCTGAACACTAACCTGGATCCCCTGGGTACTTCTCACAACACTGGACAATCACTGGGACACACCTACCCTATGGTCATGGTGAGGCCATCCTAACCCCTTCACCATTTCTACCTAAATGGTAAAACCCTCACCCTCTTCAACCTCTCTCCAGTCTCTGGGTATTGCATCAACCTCTGGCTTTGAGTTACAGTCCCTTCTCCCACACATGGTAGTCCAAGGTGCTTGTGACCACATGGAGGCTGGGCTAGGCCCTGATGTGCTGTGAAGCTGGCCCACCTACCACTGCTCACCCTGGACCCAAAGGCAGCCTGTGCAGCAGAGGTAGGCGGAAGCCCATAACACCAGCCCCCACCACCTCCAATAAAAGCACATCACTGTCATCTTTCAGGACTGAGCTGAGCTCCTACCTGCTTGGCCACGTCTAGAGAGCAGCCATCCATTTGGCGGTGCGTGGGGCTGGCCATGCCAACTCTGGGGCAACTGTGCCTGCAGACCCTCCATGGCAGCCTGCAGCTCATCGTTGCGGTCCTGCAGGTCCTGTGGGGCAGTCAGACACGTCTTTCAACTGCTGTGGCCATTCAATCCAAGGAGCCACTAGTGTGGAGACTGGGCTACCAGGGAGCAGCTAAGCTCAGTGCCAAGGGCATCCAGCTGGGCCTAAGTAAACCACAGGTAATGGGGGCTGAAGACCCACCCAGAGACAGGCAATGGTGGTGATATCTGTTAGGGGTTGGTGTGTGTCTCAGTCCATCTGGGATGCCATAACAAAAATACCACAGACTAGGGGCTTATAAACAACAGAAATTTAGCTCTCAGGGTTTTAGAGGTTAAAAGTCCATGATGAAAGTGCCAGTATTTTCAGTGTCTACTGAGGGCTTCTTGGTTCATAGACAACCATCTTTTTCCATGTCCTCACATGACAAAAGAAATGGGAGAGCTCTCTGAGTCCCTTTTATAGAACTCTAATTTCCTTCACTGGGTTCACCCTCATGACCTCGTAAAGGCCTACATCAAAAGGCCTAAAGCCATCACAGCAAAGAGGGAATAGGCTTCAACATATGAGTTTGGGGAAACACAAACATTCAGTATGTAACAGTGTGGAAATGCAGAAAAAGAAAAATCTGCATTTGGGGTTACTGACTTCATTGTGGTGTCCACTCAAGACAACAGTGAAAACATTAAACTGCAGCAACAAGATGGCGGCGAGGTAGGTGGGATCTGAACCCACTTGCTCAGGTACCCAACAGGGACACAGAGCTGATCTTCTGAAGAACTAAGTGAAAAGCCAATGAAATCCCAGCTTATTTGAAGTTTGGAAGCTAAAGGTTGCAGAAAACAGATGGTAAATAGGTTTTGTAGGCCTACGGGAAGGTCCCCGGATCCTGTGCCATGGACTGTGGCTGCTGCGGTCCCTGGGCCCTGCGCCAGGGACCTCGGCTGCCACAGGAGCTTTGGAGGAGAGCCAGCTCAGCAACTGTAACTTGTCAGCTCCCTCCCCTTCCAGAGGCAGGAAAGCCACAGACCTGTGCCAGTAGAGACCTGTTCACTTGAAGTCACTAGGGAGAATAAAGACACAGTGGGAGACACACAGCAGGCAGCGTTCTGTGGCTGGGACTGTGGTTGCTGGCTACAAAAGTACTAGAGCAATTGGGTAGCCATGTGACATCAGGAGATGGGAGAAGAGAAGGGCCATGACTTACCATGACCGATAGTCCTTGGACTGGTCAGAGAGTTGATGGACTGTGTGAAAAGCCCAGCAATTTTTAGGAAAAGGCCACCAGCAACCAACAGGAATTCACTCAAAAATAGGACCTCTCACATGCAGCAGCTGGGCCAGCAAAGGAGGAGGAGGGGCGCAATTTGCTCCAAATCAGGGAGTCCCATGGATTGATCAAAGGGGGGCAGTAGAGCCAGAGGGGTAGCAGTCCTCAGGCAGACTTAATTTAATAGGGGAACTAAACAGCCCTGAAGGGACTTTGCGCATGCACAGAGCCCAGGCCAGCAAAGAGTGAGGAGAAGGGATTTGAGTTGTTCCCACTTGGTGCACCTCAAGGACTAATCAAAGGGCTGCACACCATGGTGGATTAAAGGGGCTGGCCTGGCGCATATGGACAGTATGGGCTGCAAGGTGCTCTGAGGACTTAGCTGGATGCTGGGCACCTAAGAATACTGCAGCCCAACCCAGCCCCCATCCTCACAGATCACCAGTAAAGGAAAAAAAATGGAGCCCAGCCCCTCTCTGCCTTCAGCATACAGGAAGACCAGCAGAACCCCCTTGGTGGATTTACAGTCAGCAGGACCCTTTTTATTGTTTTTTACAACTGTAAGACAATAAGACCTGGAGCTGTGAAAGGACCAAATACAGATCCATAGAGAGTGATCAGAAGGCTAACATCAACAACTGAGAAAAAATTTCACTTTGCTATCCCTCAGAACTTGCGTTGTTTTTTTTTGTTTGTTTGTTTTATATATATATTTCTTTTCCTTCAGTTTAGTTTTTGTTGTTTTGTTCATTTGTTTGATTTCATTGTTTGACTGGTTTTCTTGTTCTCCCTTTAATATTGCATTTTAATTTTTCTTCTGTCATTGCATTCGTATTCCAATAACATACTGCTTCTTGGCCTTTTAATTTTTATTCTTTTAATCCAGATTACATATTTCTTGTCATATTATTGTTCCAAATCCCACACAGCACTCTTCCCTGCTCTTGGTCCATTTCACTATCTTTCTGAGCTTTATTACTATTGTGGTTAACTTTATTCTCTCCCACATTCCCCCAAGTTTCTATCACTTACTCTCACTATATCTTACTGTCTAATCCTGCGTAAGCGCTCTGCTTTCTGGAGTCAGCTCACATTCTTTTTCCCCTCTAATAAGAGCCTTGTCTCTTTTTCACCTTTTATAAAAACTGGCTAGTTGGGTGAATTACTGTAACAGGGTCCAGCCAGAGCCCCCCTTCAAAAAGGGGGAATTTGGAACAGGGTCCAGAATGTGGGGTATCCAAGAAAAATATGGGATATTCTCCCACCTCCCCACAAAACGGGCTGCCATGGAGTATGGGAGATATGGAGCAGGGCCACTGAGAGTTACTTTGGAAATCAGTAACAGGCCAGTTTCTTGCCAGATATAGAACAGGACCACTGAGAGTCATTTTGCATGTCAGTAACAGCAGGATAGCTTCAGACCTCATATGCAAAGATGGTTATTTTGCATATCAACAAGGCTAATCAGGAAGGTTTGCATAAATTAAACCCAGGATGTAACTGGGAGGCAGCTCCCCCAATTGTGCATAAGAGCTTGGAGATAGTTTGCTCTATGCCAACAGGGAACAATGCGAAGACCATACAGGAAGGAAAGGGGAGAAAGGACTCCTGCTAATGGGCCATGAGAAAGTGTCATGGGGTTTTAGATTAAGAACTGGAGATCACAGTGACACAGCCAATGGTGCTGGAAACCGCAAGAGGCCTGCCTAGCTGAACTCTGGACTTCTGTTCATTTTCTTCTGAAGGATGGTACCCCTGACTGGCCTGACTAGCCTGACCATGCAAAAGAGGGGAAAGGCAAGACTGTGTGTTATGGTGGGTGTTTTAAAGGGATTTTGAGATTTAATGGGGACATTTGGCCATTACTCAAAAACTGTATAACTTTTGAATGAGCAGTTCCTTTCCTTTTCACTAAACTCTGCCGTTGAGAGCCATAATTTCTAAGGGCAGTGGGCAAAGAATCTAGAACAGAGGGACTCTGGGGAATGAGGTATTGTTTTGGTGACAGTATCTGGCCCCCATCACCAACGGGTCTACATTTGGTAACCTTATCACAGTTATTGCGGTACTTCTCCAAGAATCTCCTATCTGTTCTCTACTTGATGGTAGTTTAAATACTATAGAATATTCTCCTGCTGTCTTACTCCATTTCACCTTTGCCCTGCACCTGATCACATACAAGACAAGGTGGGAGGTGTAAATACCAGTAAATCCACTGGAGGAGAGAACCCACCAACAAAGGAGACACTAACAGGTAAAGCCCAAGTACAAGAGACCCAACACAACAGAAGAAAGGGTAACCTGAGAGCATCCAGACAAGGAGATCAAAGAGACCACATCACTGATCCCACAGAACTCCTACCACAGAAGTTCACCCTACAAAGACAGCTGGCAAAGCAGAGCATTGGGAATCGCAGAAACAAACAAAAAGAGTCACCTAAAATGGAGAGACAAACAAAGAACCTGCAATTGAAAGGAATAGAAGAGTCCCAGTAAAAGAGCTAAATGAAATGGAGGCAAGCAAACTATCAGATATAGAATTCAAAAGAATGGTTATAAGGATGCTCAAGAAACTCACAGATAACTACAAGGAACTGAGTGAGAACTGCAACACTATGAAAAAGGAAACAGAAACTTTAAACAAGAACCAGCAATAAATGAAGAATATAATTTCTGAAATAAAAAAATACACTAGAAGGAATTACAAGCAGGCTGGATGAAGCAGAGGACTGAATTGGTGAGCTGGAAGACATGGTAGAAAGAAATACCCAGGTAGAGCAGCTAAACAAACAAACACAAAAAAAAAACCCTCAAAAAATATGAAGGTAGTTTAAGAGAAATCAAGACAACATGAACGCAACACCATTTGAATCACAGGAATACCAGAAGGATAAGAAAAGGAGCAAGGGATAGAAACTGTTTCAAAAAATGATGACAGAAAACTTCCTGAACCTAGAGAGGGAAAAATACACACAGTTCAGGAAGCACAGAGGGTCCCAATCAAGATAAAACCAAAGAGGCCCATTCAAAGACACATCATAATTAAAATGCCAAGTTTTAAAGACAAAGAGAGAATCCTAAAAGCAGCAAAGGAGAAACAAGAAGTAACATACAAGGGAGCTCCAATAAGGCTCACAGCTGATTTCTCAGCAGAAACATTACAAGTCAGAAGAAACGGCAAGGAATATTCCAAGTAATGAAAGGCAAAGGCCTGTGACCAGGACAACTCTACCAAGCAAGGCTCTCAATTAAAATTGAAGGCAAAATAAGGAGTTTCTCAGACAAAAGAAGGCGGAAAGAATATACCTCCACCAAACCAGCACTGCAAGATATGCTAAAGGGATGTTATAGGAAGAGGAACAAAAACAGTGAGACAGAGAGGAACACAAGTATAAAAGGGGGAAAACTCAATAAATACCTATCATTAATAACCTCACATGTAAGTGGATTAAATGTTCCAATAAAAAGACATAAGGCAATTAAATGGATAAGAAAACATGACCCTCATATATGCTGCCTACAAGAGACCAACCTCATAAAAAAAGACGTACACAGACTGAAAGTGATGGGCTGGTAAAAATATTCCAAGCTAAGGGAGAGAAAAAAAAGCTGGAAGAGCAATACTTATATCACACAAAATAGATGTAATACTCAATTGAGGAATCCATCAAGAAGACATAAACATTGTAAATATATATATACCCAAAATAGAAGCACCCAAAATATATAAGGGAAATCTTGGAGGACTTCAAGAAAGATACGGACAGCAACACA